TTACTTCTGGTGATCTTTTTAATCCCAAAATGAAAATTAGTATTTTGTGATATAGCTGATTCCAAATAAATACTTCTTTTAGGAACAAGGTCATTTCTCCTTTGGTTAATTCAATTCAATTGTCAGTTCTGGGGAAGGGCTACATGGAGAGTCCTGTAGTCAGAAACTTGGGTCTAATGTCTGGCTCTGGTACTTATAAACAGGTTACCTTATGCAAACAGTTCTAATTTCTGAGTCTTAAGTTTCCTCCTTTTTAAAATAAGACTAATAATACTGCTTTACACGTTGCTAAGGAGAGATAAACTAAGTGGTTGGCACACCATAGGTATTCAGTAGTAGTTATTTACATAATGAGTTCCTACTAAATATAGAGATTTTTGGGTGCTATGAAGATACAAGGTAAAAGCTCTCAGCTGCAAATGACAAAAATCCTGAATGTTCTGTTTTTGGTATTTTTGGGGTGGTGTGTGGTACTGGGGTTTGAATTCAGGGTCTACACCTTTGTGTGTGTGTTTATTGTGTAGGGTCTACACCTTGATCCACTACACCAGACCTTTTTTGTGATGGGTATCTTCGAGATAGGGGCTCTCGAACTATTTGTCTGGGCTTGCTTCAAACTGCTATCCTCCTGATCTCTGTTTCCTGAGTTGCTAGGATTACTGGCATGAGCCATCAGGGCCCGCCAATGTTCTTAGTTTTCAAAATTCTTTTTGTAATCCTCTTCTCGGACTATGACGACAAGGGCAAGCAGTCAAAATAGCTAAAATTTGGGGAGCTCTTAACTATTTTTGTATGCACTGCCTTATTTTAATATCTGAACTTTATGGCTAAGAAAAGGTTTTAGCCTGTGCAGGTGGTTCACGTCTGTATTCCTAGCTACTCAGGAGGCAGAGATCAGGAGGATCGTGGTTCGAAGCCAGCCTGGGCAGATAGTTCGCAAGGCCCTATCTGGAAAAAGCAACACCCTTCACAAAAGAAAAGGGCTTGTGGAGTGGCTCAAGGCCTAGGCCCTGAAGTTCAAGCCCTAGTACGGAGGGAAGGAGGGAGGTGGGAAGAAAGGAAGGAAAGGAAGGAAAAGGGGAAGGGAAGGGAAGGAAAAGGAAGGGGAGGGGAGGGGAGGGGAGGGGAGGGGAGGGGAGGGGAGGGGAGGGAGAAGAGGGAAGGGAAGGGAAGGGAAAGGTTTTAGCTGGGGGTTGTAGCTAGGTGGATTTGCCAGGTGTGGAGGGGCAACCAGTACCCAACGGGGGTGAGGAGGAAGGAAAGAAGAAAACAAGCCATAGGGTGACCTTTTTCGCCACCCCAGGCCTCACTAAAGTCAGGTCTGTTTCTGGATGAAGTATTTTGCGGCCGCTGGACTCTCCACTCACCACCAGGGCGTGTCCGTGACTAGTTTCGGGCCTACAGCCCGCACAGCTGGTGATTGAAAGTCGGCCGGTTCTGGACTTCAAATGTCCAAGGTCACTAAGTGGCTTTTGAACAGGCCTCGATTTCAACCTTCTCTCTCGAGCAGCGCTCTCGTCTCTATTAGAAACTTCCATCGTTCCTAACCCCGTCGCATCCCCCAAAGTCGCCGCCTTAGCAAAGCTAGGCTTCACTTTCCCGCCCTCAGCTCCTGCATTCCCAGCGCAGCTTCCACAGGAATCCGCAGGCGCCGGTGGACCGCCCCACCTTGCTCTCATTCAGTAGCCGCGCCTTTTCCCCGCCCCCCAGTGTTTACCTCCCCAGTGATTGGGCACCGGCCCTGTCCATCCCAATTCCTACACTCCGCCCCCTCCTCTCCACCCGCGAGACCCCTGCTGCTTAATCCCTTGCTCTATCGAGGGGGAGTGGGTGCACCTAGCCCTGGCTCAGGCCCCAGCGCTGGCCCCTCCTCCTGCCCAACCCCACCCACCAGGCCCCTCTTCATCTCTCAGGCTCGACACTTGGTAGCACAACTCCCCGGCACCTAATCTTGCTGGCGACTCCTCCGTCCTCCCTCCCAGCCACCGCTCAGAGGTCTTGGGCACTCGGGCAGAGCCGCGGCGCGCCGGGGGCATGCGCTCCATAAGGGCTCTAATGAATGCGTTGAGCCTGACCGGCAGTCGTGGCCGGTGGGGAGGCTGGGGTCACCCGAACCAGAGTCCACTCCTTCACGGGGGTGTCCGGTACCACCTCCGTGAGGCAACGGCGCCGGGCAGGGAGACGCCGCATAGCCACCAACTGCTGCACCAGGATCAGTAAGGCTCGCGGGACAGGGGCAGGGGCCAGGCTTGCTCCCACTCCCACAGTCGTTCTCGCTAGCTCCCTGGGAGCCCCCTTTCCCAGAGAGCTGTCTTCATCTCCCCTCTCTCCTCGCTCACTAGCCTGCGATGCCTTTTCCTTTAGATTTGGGGCTTTGGGTCCGCCGCGCTCGGGCGGTAACCTGCCGTCCGCCCGGGAGGGCGTTTGGGCAGGTCGGTCTTCGAGATGGTGCCTGTCCAAGGTGCGTACTTAACCCGGAACGCAGATAGGCTCAGTGTTGTTTGGTGCACGTGTCTGAATGCAGGGCCGTGGGCGCACCGCCCTCTTTCACCCTACCTTTCCCCTGGTCCTCCTGTGTATTTTAGGGGATTCGTGGTATGGAACTACCTCCCGCATAGGTCTAAGTGTACTTGGGTATGTTTGTGTGGTGTATGTTTCTGTGTCTTCCGCTGGCAATGAGTGATGCGTGTTATTGATGTGCAGGTACGTGTGTATGTGTTGGGTGTGCACATAGCCGTGCTTCCAAATCTGTAAACCAAGAATGGTTTTCCAAATTGGTCTTTGAATGGGGAGAATATTTATAATGGGGGGGGCTGTCATAAGACGCAGATTTCCCAAGCTAGACTCATCAGAGCTGTTATTTATGCTGTTCGGGCTCCCTGACAAAAGGGGTTCTCTTCTTTTGGTCATGTCTTCCACTCTGGAGGTTGTCTCCCTGTGCCAGGAATACTTGGTGGCTGTTACTTTTTATGGTGCAGAACAGGAAATCTTGTTCTCCTCAGAGGTCCAGCTAGACAATGTCCAAGTAGCCCTATTATAGCAGTAACAGGAAATGGGCCACCTCCCATCATTGGCCCCTACCTGATGACATTCAGAAACATATGCACAACATAATTAAAATAGCCAGACTGACACAGCACTACCTCATCACCACTGGAGTCCCTGACCTGAATAGTAAAAGACCAATAAGTATTATTATCATTAATATGCAGTATTTTTCCATCAGCCTCTTCTCAGAAAGGTATGGAACATTTAAAAAATAAACCCTCTTTTTCCTGTTCTAATCTCTACCCCCACTTCCTCCCAAATAATTACCTTGGGAGAATGGTGGTGGGACAGAGCAAAGGCTTAACCTTCCTCACCCTTTTGTGTTCTTTGGGGTAGAGAGTAGAGGTATCCCTGGTTCCAGGACACACCCTCATCCAGTGGAGTCAGTGATGGACTGTTTTTAGGAGGCCCAGTTTCTCTTGTCTATGATGCTTGTGCTCCAGGGACCATCTTGGTAAAGGCCTTGAACCGGTGCTCCTTGGGCAGAGAAGTTGACAGCACTGGAAGTTGATGGGCTCTGAGAGTGTGACATCATGAGAGGGAGGGGTTTCTGTGTTTGGAGGAAGGAGGGCAGCAAGAGGAAATGACCTTGTTATTCAGATTGTTGGATTTCAGGTTTTTTAAATATTCAGCTTTATTGTATTGATGAGTTTTAAAAGAAAACCAAGATAAGCCAGGTGGCTGTGACTCACACCTGTAATCCTAGCTACTTAGGAGGCAGAGATCAGGAGGAAAACGAAGATAAATGTGCAATATTAAGAAAAAACAGGATCCCAATATTAGAAATAACCAATTAAAATCATGGTATATCCATGTATATCTTATATATGTATGTGCAATACATAATTTAACAAACATGGGATCATAATAGTCATATTTTTTGGTAACCTATCATTTCCATTTATTAACAACTTTTAATATCATTGAATATATGTATATATATTCAATATAGCTTCAATATATGTCATATATGTATATATGACATCATTTCTAATAGCTACCATTTTAAAATGATAGCTCATGGTATAAGCTATCATAATTTATTTAGCCAGTCTTCAGTTTGGCTACTATATACTCTTATGAACTATTCACAATGATACTTTTTAAATGTATATGTATTATTATTATTTTTTTTTGCAGTGCTGGGGATTGAACCTAGGGACTTTCACGTGCTAAGCAAGCACTCTACCACTGAGCTATATCGTCAGCCCTCACAATTATTTCCTAAAGCAAATTCCTAGCTATTTTGCTTCCCAGAGCCATCTCACGTCACTGATATCGTGTACAGTTTTCTAGAGGCACTTTATGCATATTGATATTATTTTACCACTTTTATACAAATGGTATCATATTGTACATATTGTTCTGTACCTTGCTTTGTTTTTTCTTTAACATTATATTGGTGATCATATCTGGGCCACAACTTTGCAATTTTTAAAAGGCTTTGGAGACATACAAAAGTGATATATCATTATTTCATATCTTCCATCAGCTTCCAGAAACAGAGCCCACCTTCTAAGCATTCCTATAGGCTTTCCTCTGGAGTTATTCCTCAGATAGCTTTTCACTCCTCTCTTCACTTATACAGAGTAGGGTCATTGTAACAATTGGATTTCCCCAGAAATAGGAAAGTACCCCTCTCCTGTTGTTCCTCCTAGTCCCAAACACATAAGGCCTAGTCTATGCCAAACTTAAAGAGTCTTTTTATTTTTTAGTGCATTGTTTCAATAGGTAATATAGTTATGTGGTTCAAATTCGAAATATACAAACTATATACTGTGACAAGTATCCCTCCTACCCCTTTTGTCTGGCACTTAGAGAGAGATAAATCAGTCTTACCCATTTCTTTCTTTCCTTTTTTTTTTTTTTTTTTGCGGTACTGGGGCTTGAACTCAGGTCCTTTGCCTTGAGCCACTTTTCCAGACCTGTTTGTGGTGGGTATTTTCAAGATAGGGTATCGCAAACTAGTTGCCCAGGCTGGTTTCAAACCGTGATCCCCTGATCTTTGCCTCCTGAGTAGCTAGGATTACAGGCATGAGCCACCAGTGCCCTGCATACCCACTTCTTGTATGTCCTTCCAAAAATATTTTCTGCCTGAAAAAGCAAACACATATATTTTTCCCAATGCTAGGAGCTAAAACCTAACAGTGGGGTAAAGGAGACTCCTCTGACCCGAAGATGATACATGAGACATACCAGAAGCATAAGCAAAATCTGGAGGTGTGGGGAAGATGTTACAGAGTTGGTGACATTTGACTTGGACCATAAAGGATGAGTAGGAGTGTGCTAAATAAAGGAGAAGAAAGTCATTCCATACTGAAGTTGCAGCATAAGCAAAGGTCAGGAAGCCAAACAGTTCCTGACCCAGCTAGAGTGAAAGAATGGTAAAGAATAGAAAGGAAAGTTGGCAAAGTTGGAAGGGGTTTTTTTGCTTTGTTTTGATTTGGGTTTTTTGTTTGTTTTACAGTATTGGGGTTTAACTCAGGGTCTCGCACTTGCTAGGCAGGCATTCTATCACTTGAGCCACCCACCCAGCAAGTTAGCAGGTTTTAAAGAGCACTGAATGCCATACCAAGAATTAAGGCTAGCTAGGCGTGGTGGTGCACTTCTATAGTCCAGCACTTAAGAGGCTGAGGCAACATTGTGAGTTTAAGGCCAGCCTGGGCTATACAGAGAGAGCCTATCTCCAAAAAACAAAACAAAACACTTACTCTACAGACACTCAAGAGCTACCGCAGGTTTTTGAGTAGAGAAAATTTTGAGTTTTAGGCCAATAATTGTCACATTGTGGAAGGTGGATGGGCAGTCAAGAGAGTGACAATTAGGTAACAAAGTGCTGACGATGAAGCACAATTTACTAAGCATGTACTTTGTGTCAGTTTTTCATGGAATATGATCCTCATATCACGTGAACTGGACCTTACTACCCTCATTTTGTAGATAAGGAAGCAGGCTCAACAATATTAAGTGACTGCCCAACCTCACATAGCTATTAAGTAGCAAATTGGTTCTTTCTATTACACCATAGTACGCAGAAGAAAAGAAGACAGAGTGAATTTGGGAGGTATTATGGTGCTAGATTCATCTAGTGTTGGTGACCAAATAATCATGGACTTAAGGTGTGGAAAGTATAAAAATGATTCTACACTTGCAGCTTGGTACCCGGGTGGATAGTAGTGCTACTAACCCTGATGGGAAGCACAAGAAAAGAGGGACAGGGGTGAGATGACCTCGGTTTGGACATGTTCATTGCCTGTGGGACAAGTGAGAGTCTCTGAAAGTTGTAAGATTTACTTCTCAGGATAGATGTGAAAGACTTCAGGGATAGATCAGATGATTCAGGGAGGAGGCATAGAATGACGTCTAATTAATTATAAGCTCATGTTCAAGGAGGAAGAACAGGGAGCAGTTCTCAGGCTCCTTCCCTCCTCCCGTGTCTGCCCTGAGTGATGCATCAGAGACTGGCATGCTGTCCCGCCTCGGTGATTTGCTCTTCTACACTATTGCTGAGGGACAGGAACGAATCCCTATCCACAAATTCACTACTGTAAGTTGCTCTCTACCTGTCCAGAACCCTAATCCCTTAGAATCTTTAGGAAGTGGGGAAAGGAGGGTAAGATAAGTGCAGAGCAGCTACTAGGTTGCTATATGAGGATGGAGAATACAGATGGATAACAACAGATGCCTAGGCTGATGAGATAATCCCACTTCTGCTCCCAAGCCCGTTTCATTAATTTGTCAAAGTTAATGAAAAATGGCAGGAAACCCTTGTTAGCCTTTAAAGCTGCTCCAGTCCCTCTTTGCTTAGTCTCTAAATCCTTTTGTTCTACCAATAGTACAGTAGTTGGGATTGAGCTAATTAAGTATCTACTGGGAAAGACTATTAGGATTAGATTACTATCTTTTGAGGTAACTTTACCAGGACTCTTCTTTCCCCAAAAGGCACTAAAGGCCACTGGACTACAGACATCAGATCCCCGGCTCCGAGACTGTATGAGCAAGATGCACCACCTGGTCCAAGAGTCCAGCAGTGGTGGTCTCTTGGACCGAGATCTCTTCCAAAAGTGAGGGCCCTTGAAACAAGGGCACTGTTCTCCAAACTGTCCTGTGGACAGGGAGGAATGCTGGGGATTATACAGTTCAATCCATTTTATTGTTTTTTTATACAATACATGAATACTCACAAAAATCCAAACAATATGGAAATACATGCTCTCCTTTTCCTCTGTACCCAGAAGTAAACATTGCTAACAGATTAATGCATATCTTCTAGATAATGTCCTATGTATTCACATACATATATACATATATGTATATAAATATACATAAATAAATAATTTAGGATTTCTAAAATATAAAGGTGACATACTATACATATTGTGGAATTTGTTTTTTCTCATATCCCAAGACATACTGTCCATGTAATATTTTGGAGTACCTTCTCGTGTCATTACAACCCCTCATTTTAGACAAGAGAAAGTAAAACCTAGAATGATATAATGACTTGTCACACAACTGTTGTGATAGTCACACAACTGTTGGTCCCAAACTAAATGATGGCTTACAACCTTCTTTATTCCCAACTTCCATGGCTCCAGAGTGAGTCCCCACTGCATCTCTCTAGCCCCCTAACACAATTGTGTCTGGGATCCAGGTGTGTGAGCAGCAACATTGTGCTCCTAACTCAGGCATTCCGAAAGAAGTTTGTCATTCCTGATTTTGAGGAGTTCACCGGCCATGTGGATCACATCTTTGAGGATGCCAAAGAACTCACTGGAGGCAAAGTGAGGGCCAGGGGTACAAGGGAGGGACAAGGGTTCTGGACCAGATACAGCTTGCTTCTCAGAGACTTCCTGGGGCTGGAAATGCAATAAATAAGAGATGACAGCAGAACCTCTAAAAATAGGGATATGACTTCATGTATTTCTATATGCCTGATTCCTAAAGCAGGTGAGGAAATCCTAGGTTTTTATGAAGACAGATGGCATAAGAAGCCAATTGAAGCCTTCAAAGACTTACAGGGTAACTGAGCCTAAGAATCAAAAAGGGAAGCCAATTCCAGAATTATTCTTTTACCTTCCATGGGCTTTGCTGTCATCCCTATATAATTGGGGCTACAGAAAGATAATGCCCCCTAGGACTTAAGGCTTAGGTGTTTCTGAGAGCAATAAGCAGAAGAGAACTCATTTGTCATGTAGGAGACAGAACTTTACCATTATCTAAAAGGTTCTCCTGACCTTGTATACATTTCTGTTCACTACATCTGTCTCCCTTTTCTCTTACACACTTATACCCAGGTGGCAGCCTACATCCCTCATCTAGCCAAGTCAAACCCAGACCTGTGGGGCGTCTCCCTGTGCACTGTGGATGGTCAACGGTGAGATACTGGGTGAGAAAGGGGAGGCAGGGCACAGGTTCAGAACAAAATTCAACCCCTCTGATGGCACTGTCTGCCTCCAGGCACTCCGTGGGCCACACAAAGATCCCCTTCTGCCTGCAGTCCTGTGTGAAGCCCCTCACGTATGCCATCTCCATAAGCACCTTAGGCACTGACTATGTGCACAAGTTTGTGGGCAAGGAACCCAGTGGCCTGCGCTACAACAAACTCTCCCTTAATGAAGAAGGTAAGCATCCTCAGGGCTCAGACTAAGCTCTCACTTCCCCTACCCTTCCTTTTTTTTGTTTTGTTTTGTTTTGTTTTGTTTCTTTGCCTTTCTTTCCATCCAAATACTAACCTGCTTAGCTACTGAGATCAAAGATCGAGCACATTCAGGATGTACCACTGTTGGCTCTTTGCTTTTCCTGATTAGTCTGTCCTTCCTTTAGCCCTAGCAAAGAAATCTTTCTTGTTTAACCTCCGGAGTGGGCAGGCTGTAGAGCAGGCTTTGTTCAGTAGCTGATGAGACTCTGGGTGGTTTGTATTTCCCCAGGAATCCCCCATAATCCCATGGTCAATGCTGGTGCCATTGTCGTCAGCTCCCTGATCAAGGTCAGTGCCACCTGAACCTTCTAATAGGTACTATTCTTTCAACGCCCTTGTTCCTATATCCCTCATATCTGTTCAGCTCTCCAGAAAGACAAGCTGACTCCTTTGAGGGCTCCCAGAAGGCATGAAAGAGTACAGCAGGAACCCATGTGTTATGTTGAGGATGTCAGTATGAGGAACTGTCCCACCTCCCACACCCTCATCCCATATTGTTCCCTGCCCCCACCTTTAAGTCTGGAGCCCAGGGCCTCCTGGCCTTAAGAGAAGTGAGCAGGAGGTCCTGACCCCTGTTTAGGACCAAGGGCCAAATGCCAGAGAGAGGGGGAGGATGGCACTATTAGATACTGATTGGCCACTCCAGGGCGAGGGACACATGGAGAGAAGGGTGAATGGCCAGGCCAGGGCAGTTATTAACGTCACCTGGAACTGTGAGTTGGCCTTGAGCAAGGGTGTCAGGCAGGCCCATCAGCTGTAGGTCTCCCAGAGCTTGAGCAAGAACCTGGGAGCCACGTGGGCAGCGACACTTGGGAGCCAATCACAGTTCCTCCTGGGGAAGGTGGTGTTAGGAACCCTTCCCCCAGGAGACTCAGGTGTCACAGTCCCTGTATTGTTGACTCTATAGCTGACATGTGCAGGAAGCAGTGAGTCTGTGGGGAAAGACCAGGCCAAGACTGTCCCCTGTTCTATAATAGCTCTATCTATATAGAGCCCTGTGTCTGGAATCTGCCTCATCTCATTCCCATCTAAGTCAACAGTACTGAACTTGACTCTCAGCTAAAATCCTGGGTTCAATTCCCAGCAACTGCCAAAACAAATGAAAGAATTTTTGGCTTCATTTCAGTTAGCAATATAATTGAATATTATAATATGCACAGTAGATGCCACATTCCGTTTCTGCAACCCCATCTAATCTTGGAGATGGTATGGGAGTCAGGGATGGGCTAGAGTAAGCCTCTAGCTTGAGGTATAACGAATGGGAATGGGGACAGGTCTGGAGTCAGAAAGATGAAAAGTAGAAGACTGAAGATGGAAGTAGGGATGAAACTCAGGAGTGAAGCTCATGGATGGGGTGAGGTTATTTGTTTGTTTGAGACAGTGTCTCATTATTTAGCCCAGACTGGCCTTGAACTCTCTCTCAAGCCTCCTCCTCAGTCTCCTGAGTGCAGGTGTGTATCACTACACCCAGCTGGGTGAGGATGTCTGAATCCTCATTCCTTGATAATCACCTAAGTCTTTCTTTCATTACTGGAGCTTGAACTCAGGGTGTCACACTTGCTAGGCAAGTACTCTACCACTTGAACCATGCCCCCAGCCTTTTTTGCTTTAGTTATTTTTCAGTTAGGGTCTCATGTTTTTGTCCAGGGCCTTGGATACACATAGCCGGGATCACAGGCACATACCACTACTCCCACCTTATAGAGATGGGGTCGCACTTACTTTTTGCCTAGCTAGGCCTCCACAATCCTGATTTCTGCTTCACCACACCTAGCATGGTTTGTTTTTTAAGATCACCATACATATGTACACACACACACACACACACACACACACACACACACAGAGTCTCAATTGTTTAAAAAAAAGATAAGACCATCGGCATGGTGGTGCACATCTGTAGTCTCAGCTACTCAGGAGGCTAAGGTGGGAGGATTACTTGATCCCACAAGCCTGAGACCAGCCTGGGCAATATAGTAAGACCTGTTTCTGAACAAACAAAAAAAATGTAAATTGTAAAATGTAACACATTTGCAATAGCAAGGCTTGTCTATCACTTCAACTATACTAGGTCCTTCTGCCCCTTCTGTCATCCTTCTAGGCTTGAAATGTTGACATGTCTCTCTTTCTTTGCAGATGGACTGTAACAAAGCAGAGAAGTTTGATTTTGTAAGTTCCTTGCTACTAGCTCCTGGCTGCCTTTCTCCATGGCATGCTGTCCTCTCCTGCTGCCCTAAGTGCCAGGCTATAAATCCATTCTCAGGTGCACCCACACTAGAAGTCCTATTTCCAGAGGAGTGGAAACCTGTTGACCTCAGAGGAAAGCCTCTGAAGTCCCTTCTGTCTCCAACAAAACTGGGATACAGACTGAGCGGTTCAGAAGGGCTTGTCAGCCTGTTTAGTAGGGGTCCATGGTCAAATGGCACTTCCTTGCCTCTCTTCTCTTCTTCCAGGTATTGCAGTATCTGAACAGAATGGCTGGAAATGAATTCTTGGGGTTCAGCAATGCCACGTAAGGCCCTATTCAGAGGACTGGATGAATAAGTTGTGGTTTTGTGTATAGATAGAGAGGGGGAAGGAGGGAGGGAGGGAGAACATGAATATGAGAGTATTTTAGGAGGAAAAGTCCATAGGAACTTGGGCCTCCCAGCTCCCACTGAGCCCCTTTATTGGCATTTGTTTACTTTGTGAAATAATTTGTTCTATTTCTAATTAGTATGGAATGGGAGAAGCAGTAGTGGTTTGTGCCTAAGCCCTTGTCAATAACATAAAGTCAAAAACTTCTCCAGTTTTCCTACACTAGATCACTAGGCACCTTTAGGTGGTGGTGGCTTTTTACAAGTTTTTATTTATTTGCTTATTTATTTGTTTGTGGTACTGGGGTTTGAACCCAAGGTCTCCAGAAAGCTGGACAAGTGCTCTACCACTTGAGCTACTCCTCCAGTCTGCACTTTGTTTTGTTTACATTTTACAACAAAGCTATGTCCAGTGTTTGCTCAGGTTCAGATATTCCCTCAAATATTATTGTGGGAAGTTAGAAGGGACTGATTGAATGACATGTGTGATGTAGTTCTGTCACTCAAGGAAGGTAATTTTCCCCCTTCTCCCCATACCCACCCTTCAAACTTTAAGCACTAAATTGGGTGTTTGCTTCAGATTCCAGTCGGAGAAGGAAACGGGGGACCGGAATTATGCCATCGGCTATTATCTCAAGGAAAAGAAGGTAACTGAGAGAGGCCAGTAGGGAAAGTCACCAGGAATTCTGCTACTGGTGTTGGGGACTTCTGCTGAGACCCATGCAGTGTGGAAGTGTGACCTGAAGAGAATGCTCTCCCCTCTTCTTTGCAGTGCTTTCCTAAGGGGGTAGATATGATGGCTGCCCTCGACCTCTACTTCCAGGTAAGCAAACACTCTCAGGACTGAGGGAACAGGTCAGACTGCCCTCCTTCTCTGACTCACATAACGGGCACTCTTCTTTAGTGGTTCTGTCAGAAACAACAAAGGAACTTGTTGAAAGATCTACAAGCCAAGAACATTGCTCTATACCCAAGAGCACTGCGCTCATGTCTACACTGCACCTTCACCTCTTCCTTGTTTCCATAGCTGTGCTCCGTAGAGGTCACCTGTGAATCAGGCAGTGTGATGGCAGCCACCCTTGCCAATGGTGGGATCTGCCCCATCACAGGCGAGAGCGTGCTGAGTGCTGAAGCAGTGCGTAACACCCTCAGCCTCATGCATTCCTGTGGCATGTATGACTTCTCTGGCCAGTTTGCTTTCCACGTGAGTGTTTCTGACCCTGCTATCCATCTGCCATGATCCCAGTGCTAAGAAGAGAAAGCACTATTCTCTGAAGATGGAAAAGTGACAGCCTGCACCTGCTACCCATTCACAAATCTCCTGCCAGGAAATTAGGCTGAGAATGCTCAGTAGAGGTTGTCAAACACACTGCATTCCTCAAATATATAGACACATGAATCCCTCTTGTACAGCTTTTCACACTGCTGACTCCTCTGGAACTCAGCTTGGATATCACTTTTTTTTTGGCAAGACTAGGGTTTGAACTCAGGGCCCTATGCTTATTAGGCAGGTACTCTAACCACTTGAGCCAAACACCCAGCCCTTTTTTGCTTTAGTTACTTTCAGATAGGGTCTCAAGTTTTTGTCCAGGTTGGCCTTGGACAGCAATCCTCCTAACTATGCTGCCTGCTAGCTAGGATTACAGACGTATGCCACCACATATAGCTTATTTGTTGAGATGAGTCTTACTTTTTACCCTGGCTGGCCTTGAACCATGATCCTCCACTCACTGCCTCCTAAGTAGTTGAGATTACAGATATGCACCACCACACCCAGCTAGATGTCCCTTCTAAGGAGAGGCTTTTTTTTTTTTTTTTTTTTTTTTTTTGGTACTGGGAAGGGAAGCCAGGTCTCACCCATGTTAGACAAAGTGCACTACCACTGAATTACCCTCCTGGCCCTAGGAGTCTTTTCTGAGCCAGTCTCCACCTCTGTTCATAGCACCCTACTTCTTCTCAGTGTTCATCATAATTATTTTTTGTCTATTTATGTTTGCCTGTTTATTGCCTATCTCCCATGACCACAATGTAATCTAATGACCGTAGTAGTTTTACCACAACATCCACTCAGTGCTGTTAATATCTCAATAAACATTTCCTAACTGTATCAATGAATGGTGTAGGGGAAGGTAGCAGTAAGAAAAGAAACTAATTAATAAGCCAAAAAAGGTGGGTTGTGGCCTTGCCTATGTAGTAACTTGAAATAGTCTGCCTTGTTTATTTTTCTAAATTTGGGGAACCTCCAGCTCATCCTCAGTTTCAAATGTTTCCCCCAGGTGGGCCTGCCAGCCAAGTCAGCTGTGTCAGGAGCCATCCTCCTGGTGGTACCCAATGTTATGGGAATGATGTGTTTGTCACCTCCATTGGACAAGCTGGGGAATAGCCAAAGGGGCATCAGCTTCTGTCAGGTGAGCTGCGTGTATGTAGTACTTAATTCTTTTAATTAAGCAATAAATTAATTGTAGCCATTTTATTTTAAGTAAATAAAGCAATTATAAGCTCCTACCAAGTACAAGGAATAAGCTCCTATTAGATGCAACAGACAAGACACTCACTGTCTTATTTTTGGCTTACAATTCTAGAAGTTGGTGTCTCTATTTAACTTTCACAACTATGATAACTTGCGGCACTGTGCTCGGAAGTTAGACCCACGGCGTGAAGGAGGAGAAGTTCGGGTAAGGAAACCCTGGGTGTCTTGAAGGATATTTCAGGATAGATTATTCCTTAACATTTAAGAAATACCCAGCTGGATGCTGATGGTTCATTCCTGTAATCCTAGCTACTTAGGAGGCTGAGATCAGGAGGATCACAGTTCAAGGCCAGCTAGGGCAGATAGTTCCAAAGACCCCAACTCCAAAATACACAGAGACAAATGGACTGGAGGTGTGGCTCAAATGGCAGAGTGCCTGTTCTGCAAGTGCAAAGCCCTGAGTTCAAACCCCAGTCCCACCAAAAAAAAGAAAAACCCTCGGGTAAGCACCCGGGAGGAAGGTCACAAGGCAGAGCTGGACATAGGTAGACTCAAAGACACAATTAGTCTCAGATAACTATTATTTGTGTTCCAGAACAAGACTGTGGTGAACCTGTTATTTGCTGCCTATAGTGGAGATGTCTCAGCTCTTCGAAGGTAATTCTCCTGTAACCAAATACACACGGTAAAATATTCCTATTCAGATACCTTCTTAGGAGGCAACACAGCAAAACAGTTAAGTGCTTTAGCTTTATAATTAGACAGAATGGACACAATTGCATTTAAATGAGATTTTAAAAAGAACAAAAGGAAAGTGCATGCCATATGATAGGAACTTAATTAATAAGTCACTGTTATTAATTTGGGTGTTAAGAGCATGGTCCTAGGAGACAGGGATCTCGAGTAGATTACCAACATCAACAAATATTCACTACAGCTAGGCTGCAATGTTTCTACAAGTGTCATACTTCCTCCTCTCTAAAGTGGGAATAAGCCCAGATGCTGGCAGCTCACACCTGTAATCCTAGCTACTTAGGAGACGGAGAGCAGGAGGATCATGGTTTGAAGCCAGTCCAGGCAAATAGTTCATGAGACCCTACTTTGAAAATATCCAACACAAAAAAGAACTGGTGAAGTGGGTTAAGTGATAGAGTGCCTGCGTAGCAATTGAGAAGCCCTGAGTTCAAACCCCAGTACCACCAAAAATAAATAAAGTGGGAATAAGTCTTATCAGGTATAGAGCACAGATCATAGAGCCTACAGATCTTAGCATTAACTGTTTTACCTTTTCTGGAACTCATCCAGTCTGACTCCACTACACTAGTGATTCTAGACTGAGCTGAGTAACCGGAGCTGCTTTCCACTACCCTCAGGTTTGCTTTGTCAGCCATGGATATGGAACAGAAAGACTATGACTCGCGCACAGCCCTGCATGTTGCTGCAGCTGAAGGTATCTAGAGGGTTAAAGAAGTGACACAGAGTGTAAGACCCTTCCTTTTGTACCAGGAGTACTCCCACTGTATGTGTCCTCAAGATAACAGGGACAACAATCAGTTTTATCCAGATGCCCTTCAGCTGGCAGCCAGACTACTACTGGGTGTTGTCAGGAAACAAAATGCCAAGGCATTTTTTCCTCCCCATTGGTACAGATTCCAACTGCCACAGGTCTGCACCAAAGGGTTCAGGACCCTCTCTCATTTTCCTTCTGTCCATATTCCTAGGACACACTGAAGTTGTTAAATTTCTGATCGAGGGTTGCAAAGTGAATCCTTTTGCCAAGGACAGGTGAGTGGGATTAGGCTAAAAAGGTGGGAGGGTGGCACAACTTTATCACTTCCCTCCAGCCACCATGCTCGTGTGCTGGTGCCTTCTTTTCTGATCACAGTCCTTGTTCCTCTCAGGTGGGGCAACATTCCCCTAGATGATGCTGTGCAGTTCAATCACCTGGAAGTGGTCAAATTGCTTCAAGATTACCAGGACACCTACGCAGTCTCTGAAACTCAAGTTGAGACAGCAGCCATGTCTAAAGAGAACTTAGAGAGCATGGTGTGAGCACAGGTTATGGACAGTCCCTGCTCAAAAAAAAGCATGAGCTGGCACACACTTAACCCACATAACCACCAAAAACACTATGGAGAGATGCATCAGTGGGGACCAAGAGAGCCATTGGTGACTTAGGTCAGTGCTTTCTGTGAGAGTCAAAACACCCATTCCCTCAATGAACAAAGCACAGAGAAGGACCTCAGTGGACACCTGCAGAAGAGCTATCCAAAGTCAGAGGTATGGCCCAATGACCTGACCCACTCAAAATCATACCAGGTCTTCATCCAAGTCCTCTGTTTCTCTTCCTGAAGAAACTCTCATGAGAAAGAGACTTCAATGGAGGGACTCTAACAACCATCATATGCATATATCAGAGTAAGAGAAAAAGGGACCTGTGTATCTGGCTTTAGTAGTGTGAAGAGATCTGTCCCCCTTAGCCAGAACATGCTGTTGCTACTGCTAACAGCAATTTTATAGACAGAAAGTATTTTGTGCTCAAATAAACTTTAATTACACAAATTACTATTTTTGCTAAACTTAGTCATTCTTTTTCTCCCCTAAGGGTATCCATCTTCATCACCATCATAGAAGGTAGAATAAGGTAGAACCACAAGGTCAGACAGAGCCCAAATGATACATATTTCACATACATACTCACTCCACCAGGTTTTCCTCAACCCCAAATACTGCTTTATGTTAAGTGTATTCTATAGTCAAGGGAAATAGGAGTTTGGGTCTGAACAAGCCCAAAACTGAATTGTGCAAAATTTCAGACTTCCCTTCTTTCTCAAAGTTCTAACTATGGCAAATTATGAAGATGGAACTTCTCAAGAATAAAGTTTCTGGATGCGATCCCCTAGATAATCCCCTAGTGTCTTTTCCCCTTTGGTCACAGCTGTAACTGGCATAATGATTATGACGAACTTACTGGGTTTCAGATGAAGGCAGATGGACTCAGGGTGAGGATGGCTGCAGCTGTGTGGGGCTGAGAGTCTGGGCATTGAGGTACTGGGGAAGGAGAACTCTGATCTCATTCTGACCCACTGAGTCAATAAAGTATTGAGGAACCAGCGCCCAGACTCTGTAGGTGCCGGAGAGAAAAGGCTAAGTCACTGACTGTACCACTTCTCCAGCCAGAGGTAGAAAGGATTTACTCTGGAGAGATTTGGTGAGCCCCCCAAGCAAACAAGTTACAGTGGATAAGGGACTGAATAGTCTGAGAAAGGTCTTGGCATGGGGAGTCAGGGAACGAAGGAACCAAGTCAGGGAAAATACACCAAGGAAACTGGCAGTAGTTCAAGGGGGAAAGTTTGGCTGTATGCCTAGCTTTCACAGGGGTGGGGACAGAGGAAGATGATTAAGACATTGCACAGAGGAGCCAACATTGAATTGTGGGAGCTACAGATTGCTTGGGGCAAAGTAAAACAACTTCACAACACTCACACAGAAGGCTGGCCAAAAGCATGATTAGGGTCTCCAGTAATGGACACACTAGAGACCCTCTGGCACCTCAATCCCTGAATGGGTCAGCAACTCTCCATCCCAAAGAGCAAAAGCAGGCACCACTGGACCCCGGAAATCTGTCTGTAGCGTGTGGACCACAGAGACCTGGTTCACATCTACCAGGCTCAGCTTCTTGGCCTCATACTCCAGCAGCAGCCCCACTTTCTCAGGCTGTCCCACAGCCTCAACTGGGGCTTTCTCGTTGGCCAACATGGTGTACCACTTGCGCTGGGCATAGGAGAACACCCAGGAACGATCATCAACACCGATGCAGCTATCCCGGGACATGTCCACATCTGCCACTCCTATCCGGAAATGCTGGGAGCGCTTCACTGTCACTTCCCAGTAGTGTCTGCCACTGGTGACGGTTGTATCTGCCAGTACCACTGCCCACTCCCGAAAGCGCTCCACATTCAGGGCCACCTTGGTGGGCTCCAATCCCACCAAGCCATATTTGACACCTGTGTCACCTCTGAAGAGTGCCAGGCTGCTGTGGGCAGTTTTTTCTTCCAGTTTGAAACTGATGCCTGCGGGCAGAGCAAAAAGACTGGATAACGACAGGATAGAACTTTAGGGCCAGTGCTATGTTCTGATGTGAAGCCGGCAGTCAGATCATTAAGAAGCAGAGAAGAGTACAATGCCAAGCTGGCAAGACGGGAGGAGGAGGTGGGGGGAGAGTTCGCTTTAGTATGGCAACCCAAGCAGCCGAAAAACTCGGATTGGGGAAGCCTCAGATTTAAAGAAACCAGAAGATCTTCAGTGTTTGGAATCTCAAGACCGGAGAAGATGGGGGAGGGGAAGTGACTGAGTAGGTGATTGGAGCACTGAGCGGGCTCAGGGAGTAACAGGAAAATATTTTGGAAGTAAAAGGAGATAACCCTACCTCTCCGGGCTTCCCCAGCGGCAACCCCCCATCGTTTGGCTCCCCAGCGGCACAAGCACCACCAGCGTGCAAAGGGCAGCGCCATCTTGCGCCACAGATACATAGGGCACGCCCCCGGGCAGAAGACCCCGCCATCGCTGGGCCTGCGCCCTGAGCACGTGGTGCTCAAGGAGGCCACGCAGCGTGATGACGTAAGAGCCGTGTCGCCCGGAGCTGCCATCCTAGCGGTTCCTCTTCTGGTTATGGTGCCACTTTGCAGTTTATTGTTGTTATTTGTGGTGAGGATCGCTGCTTACATTTGAACTTAACTCTTAGACGGTGTAACCAGATGTTTAAAACCATTTTTTTTTTCTTTTGGGGGGGTGTACTGGAGTTTAAACACAAACCTTGAACTTGCTAGGCAGGCGTTCTACTACTTGAGTCACGCCCCAAGTCCAAAATCATGTGTTTTAGAATTAAACAGCAATTAGATTGAACCAGGGCTTCACTGTGTGACTATAGACACATCTTTCACTTCTCTGAGCCTAAACCAATACCTTAGTAAAAACTAACCCCTATGCCTTAATGAAAATTAAACTCTGGGTTGGATCCCCAGCACTGCAAAGAAGAACAAAAAAAAGAATGTTCACTGAGACTAATTTAGAATACAGCTTGACAAAAAGCAACCACCTAGTGAGTGGCAGTTGTTTATATTTCAGGGCTAAGAAGGAAATTGGAGTTTTGGACCCAAGGCCCAAACTCCTGAGATTCCATATGTGAGGTCTGGCCACCTGCCCCTAAACGCCAAGTAAAGAGGCATGGTGAAGGCAGAGAAAGGAGATTTATTACATGGCTCTGGACATGTGGTGGGAAAAAGCAGAGTAAGCACTCAGCTCATCCTCAGCCATCTTCCAGGGTACAAACATGAGCTACAGGTTTAAATAGACAAAAGAACTGGGGGAAGGGAGCAAAGGTGTGCATATTTAAACAGTTCTGGTCACAGAAGTGTTCCCAAGGGGTTCCAGAGAAGATGTTGCTGTCATCACTTGAGGAGAGCAATATGGTTCCCATAAAGATGATTACTCCTGCTCCAGGATACAGCCTCATTATTATAAGAAATTGTCCTCATTTGGAGGGGTGGTCTGTCCTGCACATTCCAGTGTTCTTTATGGGACGTTTTAGTCCCTTGTCTTAAAGATGTTATCAGTTCTGTTCTTTCTGGAATCCAAGGTGATTGTAAAGTGACTAAAGAGAATGGCTTAGATCAGGGGCAGATACAAGAGGAGGTAGGGATGCCAAGCTTCTGCTGTTTTTAGTTAATTTGTGGGCCCAAGTAAGGAGTCAGTGCTTTTTAGCAAAAGCAGTTTGAGCGCCTCTTACAAGAATGCATGGTTTATGTCAATACAGTACTCAGTTTTCCAAATTTAAGCAAAAGTCTCAGTATTTTTGTTCTGAATGAAACAGGTATTAAGTAAGTGATTAATTTTTTTAAGAGTAAAGCAAATGCACAGTTTACTGAACAGACAATAAAAGCTCCCAGCACAGGAGGAGCTTAGGAAAGCTAAGCAGTAGTATAGCTGAAGTCTAAGAAATGGTATAGGACTCTGCCTCACTTAGGTCCAACTATTCTACATTTTCCCCCTTTTAAAAAAATTTTAATTGTTGTATTCTAGCCTGCCTCACTGAGGGTACATTGTGACATTTACAAAATTTCTTACAATATATCATAGTTAAAGTCACCCCCTCCATCATTCTTCTTTATCTCCCCTCCCCCATTACTGGAATAGTTTCAACAGGTCTCATTTTTCCATTTACATACATGTATAAGAAGGTGATAATTAACATTTAACATTTTGATCTGCTTAAGACCCTGTATCCCTGCTTTCTAAATGTTTCAGTCTGTATACTTCTTTCTTTCTTTTTTTTTTTTTTTAAGGAAAACCACTCAGATTGTGTACTTTCCTTCTAGAGAGTAAGAATGATCCTCAATGGCAAATGGCAGTTGCAATAAAGCAACACCAAGAGCCAGCTTCACACTGCACCTCCTCCTCCTGGCTTCCGGTACCATACACAATCAGAGAAACTTCTCTAGTAACAAACTATAGAAATAATCCCTGAAAATATAGTCTTCAGTCTGTCCACTTCTTGATGTTCTACTGCTCAATATCCCATTCCATCCTCCCACCACTCAAAAAAAGAGACTAAAGTCATATGCCAGTGGCCCACAACTGTAATCCTAGTTACTTGGGAGGCTGAGATCGGGAGGATTAAGGTTTGAGACCAGCCTGGGCAAATAGTTCCAGAGACCACCCCCCCATCTCCAAAATTACCAAAGCAAAATGGACTGGAGGTGTGAATCAAACAGTAGAGTACCCACTTTGCAAATGTGAAGGCCTGGGCTCAAACCCCAGTCCTCCTGAAAAAAAAAAAAAAAGTGACTAAATCTTTAAAAGCCTAAAGAATTAACCCAACCCCTTGCCACCAGGGTTCTAACTAACATTCCTTTTTTTTTTTTTTTTTTTTTTTTTTTTTGGTGCTGGGATCGAACCCAGGGTCTCAAGCATGCTAGGCAAGTGCTGTACCACCCAGCTACCTCCCAGCCTCTAACTACCATTCTAGCAGACATGGTACTAGTTCAGGTCCCTGAGGCCTCAATTAGGGCTTTCTCATTTCTGTCTGCTTGAAGTCCAATGTTGGCACTGCAGTCAGGATTATATTTCTAAATCACAAATTACAAATCTTAATCTTCCACTTCTCCACTTAAACCTTTTTTTGTTTGTTTGTTTGAATTTAGGGCCTCCCACTTGCTAAGCAGATATTCTAATGCCAGAGCCTCATCTCTAGCCCTTCCTACTTAAATTTTTAGTGTACCTGCATCAGATTCCCTTTGCATGATCATAAGACTTTACATGATATGACTGCTGCCTACTTTTTTTTTAAATTTCTATCCATTTTAATGAGGTGCTGGATCCAATCCAGGACCTTGAACATGCTAGACAAAAGCTTTACCCCTAAGCTGTATCTCCAGCCCCAGAGCCTGCATTTCTAAACCCCTGCAGTATATTGTGTTGTACCTATATGCTCTTACACTAAGAGTGCACATGAACTGCTCAGTTCAGAAGAAGCCACTGAAAGTGTAGCTGCTACTACTAAACATTAGGAAATTATATATGGGGAAGTCTCCAGCTGCCCAAAATAGAAAAGGGGAAAGACCAGTCAGACCTGCCTCTGCTTTGGGCTTAGGTTCTGGGTGGGGACAGAAGGCTCCCCCCTTTCACTAGGATAGGAGAAAAGTGTTCTCTTAATTGCCTGGGAACTGAGGAGTAGGGAGGAAGGGTGTTAAAAGGAGATTCAGCATAGGGTGGCAAGTCTTCTGGGAGGAAGGACTGTTCAGCAATGGTGACTGCTGCCTACTTTTTAAATTCAATTTCACAAAACACCGTTCCTTCTTTCAAAGGCCTAAAGTCTAGCTGGGGGATGGATGAGAATATCAACTGTTGCAATTTGATGCAGTAAGTGTCATAATTCAACCGATTGTAAAATGGTCAGGAATCAAAAGAGAAGTCTCTGAATTAGTACATGGAGGAATGTTGGGAAGAGACTTTCCTAAAGCTATAGCTATGGCTTAAAAGGCAGAAAAAGGTAAGCAGATGAGGAAACTCCTCCTATTGAAGATCTCAGCTCATGTCTTCTTCCCCTCCCCATTCCCACCAAGAAATGTACTATGAGTACTAGATCTATTCTGGTACAGTCCTCTATCACCTATTGGATATGGATTCTCAAAATCTCTATCTCTTGAGTTCCAGATTATATTTTCAATAGCCTATTGGAAATTCATACCTGGATGTCCCCAGTAGTCTCAAACTCAGTATATCCAAAGTTACCCTCATTTTCATACACAAACTTCCTCCTCCTGGATTCTCTGACTCCATGAACTGCAACCTCTATCCAGCCAGTTGCCCAGAAATCCGTGAGTCCTGGATTTCTTTGTCTCTCTCATCTCACATACCTCATTGTCATTGAATCCCTATCATGTTATTTCTCTCTTATTTTATTAGCCTTCTGACTGGCTTCCCAGGGAATATGGAAATAGGCAGCTGCCTATCTCAGTCATCAATTCTTTTTTTATTGGGGGGGAATTGGAATTTGAACTCAAGGCCTCACATTTGCTAGGCAGGCAGTCTACTGCTTGAACCACTCCACCAGCCCGTTAATTCTTTTTTTTTTTTTTTTGTAGTACTGGGGCTTGAACTAAGGGCCTTCGCCTTAAGCCACTCCACCACTACCACCACCCCCTTTTATGTGTGTGTGTGAAGGTATCTTTCGAGATAGGTTCTCACAGAAGTATTTGCCTGGGCTGGCTTGAACCACAATCCTCTTGATCTCTGCTTCCTGAGTAGCTAGGATTACAGGTATGAGCCATGGTCTCTGTGCCTCAGGGCCTCAGCATTACCCTTAGCACAGAATATGTGCTCATTGTTTTGTTTTTATGTGTTTCTTTTCTCTTTCTTTCTTTCTTTCTTTCCTTCCTTCCTTCCTTCCGTCCTTTCTTTCTTTCCTTTCTTTTCTCTCTTCTTTTCATAGGGTCTTACTATGTAACCCAGGCTGGTCTCAAACTCTTCATCCTCCTGCCTCAGACTCCCAAGTACTGGGATTATACATGTGTACCACCACACTTGGCTGTACTCATTGTTTTTGGTTTTTGATGGTTTTGAACTCAGGCTTCAAGCTTGATAGGCAGGTGCTATACTGCTTGAGCCACACCTTCAGCTCTTTTTGCTCTGGTTATTTTGAAGACAGGGTTTCACTTTTTCCCTGCACTGGCCTGGACCACAGACCTCCTATTTATTCCCAGAGTAGCTGGGGTGACAAACACATACCACCACACTGAACTATTTTCCATTGAGATAGGGTCATACAAAATGTTTTTTGCCCTACCTGGCCTGTAACTACTATCCTACCATCTCAGCCTCCCAAGGAGTTAGGATTTACAAACATGAGCCACCAGCTCTAGCTGCTCATTGTTTTGGGTTTGTTTTTGGCAGTACTGGAGTTTGAACTCATTTTCTCCACCAGGGATCAGTGTGGCCCAGTTTTTTCAGTTTTTAAAT